GATTCCTTGTGTCTTAGAATATTGCAGATTCCCTGTGATTCAGACTGATTCCTTGTGTCTTAGAATATTGCAGATTCCCTGTGATTCAGACAGATTCCTTGTGTCTTAGAATATTGCAGATTCCCTGTGATTCAGACAGATTCCTTGTGTCTTAGAATATTGCAGATTCCCTGTGATTCAGACAGATTCCTTGTGTCTTAGAATATTGCAGATTCCCTGTGATTCAGACAGATTCCTTGTGTCTTAGAATATTGCAGATTCCCTGTGATTCAGACTGATTCCTTGTGTCTTAGAATATTGCAGATTCCCTGTGATTCAGACTGATTCCTTGTGTCTTAGAATATTGCAGATTCCCTGTGTTTCAGACTGATTCCTTGTGTCTTAGAATATTGCAGATTCCCTGTGTTTCAGACTGATTACTTGTGTCTTAGAATATTGCAGATTCTCTGTGATTCAGACTGATTCCTTGTGTCTTAGAATATTGCAGATTCCCTGTGTTTCAGACTGATTACTTGTGTCTTAGAATATTGCAGATTCTCTGTGATTCAGATTCTCTGTGATTCAGACAGATTCCTTGTGTCTTAGAATATTGCAGATTCCCTGTGTTTCAGACAGATTCCTTGTGTCTTAGAATATAGCAGATTCCCTGTGTTTCAGACTGATTCCTGGCGTCTTAGAATATTGCAGATTCCCTGTGTTTCAGACTGATTCCTTGTGTCTTAGAATATTGCAGATTCTCTGATACAGACAGATTCCTCGTGTCTTAGAATATTGCAGATTCTCTGTGATTCAGACAGATTCCTTGTGTCTTAGAATATTGCAGATTCCCTGTGATTCAGACAGATTCCTTGTGTCTTAGAATATAGCAGATTCCCTGTGTTTCAGACTGATTCCTTGTGTCTTAGAATATTGCAGATTCTCTGTGATTCAGACAGATTCCTTGTGTCTTAGAATATTGCAGATTCTCTGTGATTCAGACAGATTCCTTGTGTCTTAGAATATTGCAGATTCTCTGTGATTCAGACAGATTCCTTGTGTCTTAGAATATTGCAGATTCTCTGTGATTCAGACTGATTCCTGGCGTCTAAGAATATAGCAGATTCCCTGTGTTTCAGACAGATTCCTTGTGTCTTAGAATATTGCAGATTCCCTGTGTTTCAGACTGATTCCTGGCGTCTTAGAATATTGCAGATTCTCTTATTCAGACAGATTCCTTGTGTCTTTGAATATTGCAGATTCTCTGATTCAGACTGATTCCTGGCGTCTTAGAATATTGCAGATTCTCTTATTCAGACAGATTCCTTGTGTCTTTGCAGATTTCAGACTGATTCCTCTGTCTAGAATATATTCTCTGTTTTTCAGACAGATTCCTTGTGTCTTATATCAGATTCTGTGATTCAGACTACAGTCTATATGAGATTCTGTGTTTCAGACTGAGTTCTATATAATATCTCTGAATATTGCAGATTCCCTGTGTTTCAGACTGATTCCTGGCGTCTAAGAATATAGCAGATTCCCTGTGTTTCAGACAGATTCCTTGTGTCTTAGAATATTGCAGATTCCCTGTGATTCAGACTGATTCCTTGTGTCTTAGAATATTGCAGATTCCCTGTGTTTCAGACTATTCCTTGTGTCTTAGAATATTGCATTCCCTGTGATTCAGACTGATTCCTTGTGTCTTATATAGCATTCTCTGTGTTTCAGACTGATTCCTTGTGTCTTATCTATATTGCAGATTATATGTGTTTCAGACTGATTCCTTGTGTCTTATATTGCATATATCCCTGTGTTTCAGATATTCCTTGTGTCTTAGAATATTGCAGATTCCCTGTGTTTCAGACTGTTTCCTTGTGTCTAGATATTCAGTTTCCCTGTGATTCAGACAGATTCCTCTGTGTTTAAATATTGCATATATCCCTGTGTTTCAGACAGTCTATGTGTCTGGAATATAGAGTTCTATATGTTCAGACTGTTTTGTGTCTTAGCATTCTCTGTGAAACAGATTATGTGTTTAGAATTCTTCCATTTGTTTTATCAATATATCTCTGTACAAATATCTTGTTTTATCAACAGTCTGATTTTCTGTTTTATCTATAGCCTCTATGATATCTCTGTTTAATCTATAGTCTATATGATTCTTGTTTTATCAATAGTCTATATGATATCTCTGTTTTATCAGACAGTCTATATGAAATCTCTGTTTTATCTATAGTTACATGATTCTCTTGTGTCTTAGTTTTGTCTATATATCTCTGTTTTAGTCTATATAGTTTCTTCTATATATGACATCTGTTTTATCAACAGTCTATATATCTCTGTTTTATCTATAGTCTATATGATTTCTCTGTTCTATATTCTATATATCTCTGTTTTATCTACAGTCTGTATATTGCATATTCTGTTTTTTTTCCTTGTGTCTTAGAATATATGATATCTCTGTTTTATCTATGGTCTATAGGATATCTCTGTTTTATCTAGTCTATATGTCTGTTTTTTCTACAGTCTATATGATCTCTGTTTTATCTAAATATTGCAGTCTATATATCTCTCTTTTATCTATCAAGTCTATATATCTCTGTTTTATCTATAGTCTATATGATATCTCTGTTTAATCTATAGTCTATATGATATCTCTGTTTTATCTTTATCTCTGTTTTATCAACAGTCTATATATCTCTGATTATCTATATGTGTTTTATCTATAGTCTATATGATATCTTTGTTTTAGTCTATATCATGTTTTATCAAAGTCTATATATCTCTGTTTTATCTATAGTCTATATATCTCTGTTTTATCTATAGTCTATATATCTCTGTTTTATCTATAGTCTATATATCTCTGTTTTATCTATAGTCTATATGATATCTCTGTTTTGTCTATATTCTATATATCTCTGTTTTATCTATAGTCTATATGTTATCTCTGTTTTATCTATAGTCTATATGATATCTCTGTTTTATCTATATGATATCTATATGATATATATCTGTTTTATCTATAGTCTATATGATATCTCTGTTTTATCTATAGTCTATATATCTCTGTTTATATCTATATGATATCTGTTTTATCTATAGTCTATATGATATCTCTGTTTTCTATAGTCTATATGATATCTCTGTTTTATCTTTATTCTATATATCTCTGTTTTATCTATAGTCTATATGATATCTCTGTTTTATCTTTATTCTATATATCTGTTTTATCTATAGTCTATATGATATCTCTGTTTTGTCTATATTCTATATATCTCTGTTTTATCTACAGTCTATATATCTCTGTTTTATCTATAGTCTATATGATATCTCTGTTTTATCTTTATTCTATATATCTCTGTTTTATCTACAGTCTATATGATATCTCTGTTTTATCTTTAGTCTATATATCTCTGTTTTATCTATAGTCTATATATCTCTGTTTTATCTATAGTCTATATGATATCTCTGTTTTATCTTTATTCTATATATCTCTGTTTTATCTACAGTCTATATGATATCTCTGTTTTATCTTTATTCTATATATGTCTGTTTTATCTACAGTCTATATGATATCTCTGTTTTATCTATAGCCTATATGATATCTCTGTTTAATCTATAGTCTATATGATATCTCTGTTTTATCTATATTCTATATATCTCTGTATAATCTAGTCTATATGTCTTTTTTCTCAAGTCTATATGATATCTCTCTTTTATCTATAGTCTATATGATATCTCTGTTTTATCTAGTCTATATGTCTGTTTTTTCTATCTATAGTCTATATGATATCTGTTTTATCTATAGTCTATATCATATCTCTGTTTTATCAACAGTCTATATATCTCTGTTTTATCTATAGTCTATATGATCTCTGTTTAATCTATAGTCAATATGATATCTGTTTTATCTATAGTCTATATGATATCTCTATATGATATCTCTGTTTTATCTAGTCTATATGTCTGTTTTATCTATAGTCTATATGATATCTCTGTTTTATCAACAGTCTATATATCTCTGTTTTTCTATAGTCTATATGATATCTGTTTTATCTATAGTCTTTATGAAATCTCTGTTTTATCTATAGTCTATATATGTTTTATCTATAGTATATATATCTCTGTTTTATATATAGTCTATATGATATCTGTTTTATCTATAGTATATATGATTTCTCTGTTTTATCTATAGTCTATATATCTCTGTTTTATCTATAGTCTATATGATATCTCTGTTTTATCTATAGTCTATATGATATCTCTGTTTTATCTATAGTCTATATGTTATCTCTGTTTTATCTAGTCTATATGTCTGTTTTATATATAGTCTATATGATATCTGTTTTATCTATAGTCTATATATCTCTGTTTTATATCTATATATCTGTTTTATCAACAGTATATATATCTCTGTTTTATCTATAGTCTATATATCTCTGTTTTATCTATAGTCTATATCTCTGTTTTATCTATAGTCTATATGATATCTGTTTTATCTATAGTCTATATGAAATCTCTGTTTTATCTACAGTCTATATATCTCTGTTTTATCTATAGTCTATATATCTCTGTTTTATCTATAGTCTATATATCTGTTTTATCTATAGTATATATGATATCTCTGTTTTATCTACAGTCTATATATCTCTGTTTTATCTATAGTCTATATGATATTTCTGTTTTGTCTACTGTCTCTGAATTGACTTAATGTTGTCCAAACTCTCTGCCTTTAAAATTTATCATAGACAACAGGGTAAAGGCCGTACATTATCCCAACAATACAAAGTTGATATTGTTACCTTTTGTTCACATACACGTACCATGTATGACCATGTATAGCAGCTATTCTCACAGGATTTTTTATTCTACAAGACCTCGGATAGAATAATACTACTTTGAAATACAAATCTAAAGCAATACCCTACCTGAAAAACTCCTTGGGAATTTTTGTATTTAATATATACATCTTTTGCTGTAATAGAATTACAAAATTTGACTACAAAATTTGTTACAGTGAATAGTTGAAGACTAGTGAGTTTTTATTTCATGGATTACAATTAAGTAACATCTTCAGCGTTTTTAAATGTTATTGTGATAATTTGTGTGACATTTGGGAAAAAATCTCTTGATAAACATAAAAACAATTTCATATGCCCCATTAGAAATTATCAACAAGTACTTTTGGTTAGTTTAAACTGTTGAGCAGTTGGACTATCTCTAAACGAAAGTCCTTGAAAATCTCTATTGTATATCTGAAATTCAGCATTGAAAGAACAGTATATCCACACAACAATTTGATTTCATGAAACATGCTGCAAATATAAGAGACATCAGATAAGACAATTTTACTCACATGAATACTACAAAGAATCCCCTAAATGTATCCGTGGATCTGCCTCTCCAAACCATAAAGTACATAATCAATTTTGTTCCAAATCTGCCACCAGCAGCCATATTGGAGAACTTAAACAACCAGTTTGGAGATGATTTAGTTCTAGTGCTTAAACAACCAGTTTGGAGATGATTTAGGTCTACAGTGCTTAAACAATCAACTTATATATGACTTTCATATCTACATGAAAAAAAAAGACAATACCAACATGTTAACATAATCATAATCCAAAATTGAATAATACCAAGGCAAAATATGAACAAAATAAAAATTTACACGGAGACTCCTGAAAAGGTACAAGGATAATAAGACCAGGTATTCCGGAAGAGTAACATCTTCATAGACGACACTGCCATGTAAATCTTGGTCAATTCAAGTTAGTAATGTCACATTCTCAGATGAGAACAAGGTATACAACAATAGAATCAACAAACAAACTAACGAGCATCAAACACTAAATATCATACACAGAAATAGATTATTTCTCTATGAGATCACCAAGATCAATGAAATCAAACTTCTCCTATGCTCACAATACGATGTTATTCTTTGATAGCCTGGAAGATCTACGTATTTGTAAACTCTTGAGATTGAAAGTTAATACATGAAAAACAAAATGTATAATATTCACTAAAGGTTGACTGAATATCAGAATTACTTTCAAATTATGGTGAGGAGATGGAGTTAACCTAGAGTTTTACAAACCCAGGCAATTTATTTCCTTGCACTGGTTCTTTTAATAAAGCAAAACGTTATAACATTACAATGGCTACTATTGCTGTGTATGAAGTTTTAAGAATGGGTAGGTTGTAAAACCTATCTGTCCAATAGATACATAATTTGTAACATACCTTAATTATTCAATTTATTTGTCACATATACTATGCTTTCATTATATACTTACAACTACTTATAACTTTTTAAATATTTGAAAAAAAAAAGAATCAATAAATGTTTAAACACTGTCGTCACAGTTTCAAGTTTCTCAATCTTACGTCCAATTTTCAAAATAAAAGATCCCTTAGAAATTCTGTAAAAGTATCAATTCAGTGTTTAAACAAATTTACAATAAAAACAGTTATAACCCCCAAATATGATACAGCAACTCCATCAAGAGCCCCCCATAAATTACACATAATCTTACAAAGCAAACTATTTACAGCTTTGTTGTGTTAAAGTCAAGCTCTTCCCCTTGCTTGAAGCAAAAGTTTTTTAGTGCAAAAAACAATTTTAGTAGTTTCAAATGATATAGAAGATGGAGTATCAACATCTGGATTCCATGATTCCATGTACAGCACCATGTTATATGGCCATCCACAGTCCATCCATACTAGATGTATTATCCATACCATAGCAACTTTCGGCAGGTACCAATTCATGAAAAGGCCATAATGAACCTATCACCAACTCAATCCAACTCAGGAGATCTGACAATTACAGATACAAGTACCACAACCTACATTTTCACCAGAATACTGAACATGGATGTGGCCCTATTTTCGGGTGTGCAGAATTTATATTTAAACTGTCATTGTAATGTAACGATAGTGGCGCTTTTGTATTGTCATTACCGTGAGATAAAGACATTTGTAATTATGTCATGGCTGAGCCGTAATTTCAACCTTAGCTATATAAATATCTATACTGTTTTTCTGATGACTGCAAGCTAGCTAAAACATGTAAACCAATAATAAAACCATGGAATCCAGATGTTGATGCTCCATCTTCTCTGTCTTTTGTATCTACCTTCCTTCTCTCCCACTCTGTTAGGAGATTTTTTATTTAATTTTATGAAGTGTACAAAATGAAACACTGAGAGGCTCAGATTTGAGTAAATAAAGTCCAAGGGGGCTATGAGTGGGAGGAAAGCATGTCCAAGACTCTGACCATAGCAGGCAGCGAGTCACATGTCTGTCCATTCAGTTTTGACAAAGTCCACAAACATGACGTATTGTTCTCCTCCACCTCATATGGGGTTATGTCAACTGTGATGCTTACTGGGCGTTGACTCAAAGTGGGGTCTTTCATTGGCCAGGGTAGGTTGACATGGTGACGATGAAGCTGTGAAGAATGAAGCATGTCCATCAAAAAAAAAAAGATCATTTATCAACACATAAGATGTCACCAAATTTTTCATTAGAATTAATTGTTCTGTTTAAAACAATGAGTTTTCTGTACCCACTAAAGGGAAACATATTAAAATATTATTTACTTCGAAATTTGGTTACATAAACTTCATAACAATATCTCTTTTGTTTACATATATTTCTATCAAATTTCATGACTGTAAAGAAACAATGATGGCAAGTATATCAAACTTATATCTGTTTCGAACGAGCATTTTGATTTCCATATACTCCCTACAGCAGACAATTTATTTCTTTCTTCAGTATACAGAAGTTGTCAATACATTCTACCATACATCAATTTTTGTCTTTCAGAGAATACCAAACAATTTTTTTGTTCTGCAGTTCACAATATTTTCAGGATCTGCAGAGTTGTCTTTCCTGTTCCTACCACTTTCTCTCTCCAAAACAGTTCATAAAATCTTCTATAGACCTTTCAACAATATTTATGTAGTTATGGGCTTTGATAGATAGGAAAAGAAAACTACATTTTTTCATTACCTCAGAAAACCTAAGGCAACAATAACTTGGTCTGGACATATTTTCATATTTCCAAGTAAGTAAATTTGGTAAGGTTATTATGCAAATACAATTTCCTATACATGGTAACACTGTCCTTAACCTTTTACCTTCAAACCTCGAAAGCAATCCCATGAAAGTACTTTTGGTAACGAAGTACTGTATGAAGTTTGAGGTGCAAAATAACAAATTTTTTATTGATAGTAACAATGACCTTGACCTTTGACCTTCGAACATGAAAAACACTTCCCAGCAGCCATTTTTGGTAAAGAAGCATTGTATGAAGTTTGAGCTCAATCGGCCCAAGTGAACTCAATTATTGTGAGAAAACCATTGTTTGAGGTCTGCACAAAAGAGGAAGCCAACCCAGAACTCAAGAACCCAGAATGTAGAAAATCTATTCTTAAGGAATCTAGCACTGGTATATATGCAAAAATTGTCAGAAGTTTTTGTTTGAAGAAGAAATAATGCTCGCCAACAAATAAATAAAATTCCCTTGTTGATAAGTATACTCCTTATTTACCAAAATTAGCATTTAAACTTTGAAGTAGAAATATATAGTAGTTTATATACAGTAACCTATGCACAAATATCCACTATAATTGTGGAGGGCTTTATTAGTTTTGCTGGGTTTATCAACTCATGAGCCTGTGAACAGCCAGGGTTGTTTTAGGGTGGAGTCTCCTTTAAGTTGCTGGTGACTACCTCACCAAACTACCATAGTTCATTTGGGAAGACCTTTATACCATCAAAAGCAATTAGGATAAAGTGTCTTGCCCATGACCACATTAGCACAGACTGGTCCATTTATGTGTTTCCTGAGAACACAAACTGAAATTGGTAAGAAGCATCTAATTACACACCTCGGATCATTATCTGAGGTTATGTGTGCCAACTTTCTACTTGACTGAGCCAGCACAGCCCTGTGTGGAAGGAAAAGCAGTAAAAAATTAGCCGATGATGAACCATTTTCAGATCTACAGTATTGTACCAAGATTTCACGAGAAATAGATCTAAATATTAACACCAGTATATTCTACATCCAATATGTGTACTGTACACAATCACAAAAGAAAGTAATGCGCTATTGTAAGTGTACCTTATACAGACTGCCTGACTCGCAGTGCCAAACTACACCCTCCATGCGTCCACTGTTGTTGCCCTCTAACCAGGCTCTCACTTCCTCCAGGTGTAGTCCACATGGAACTGTTGCCTTTATACTCCCATGAAGCACCATAAGGTGGAGGGGTGTTGCTTTGTTTCCAATCCCTATGTTAAGAACAGGTACAGGGATACAACATGAGGTTACCAGAATCAGCCAATATACATATAGGAGGTGAATGTGCTTAAAAAATCCTTATGACAAAAATGCTTATTAAATATCTGTAACAAGTGACAAAATTGCTTCTTCAGTTGGTAACATCAGTTAGGGAAAGACATTGGTTTGCAAATGTAACTTATATTTAGATATGTTGGGAAAATATATGTACATGCCAAATTAACAGATGCATTTGCTATCCATGTGTTATGATAGAAAGGTTTGTGAATGATATGATAATACCATAAGGGTTGCCATTGACGTGGGTGCCAATTAATTCTGCTGTTTTTCCTAACAGCTCGGACAGGTTCACCAGGTCTACTTGAAGTTTTCTCCCTTCATCTGTCTTTTCTCTGTCAACATAAAAATCACCATCTTTTCTTGTAGTTTCCCCATCAGCAAACTTTGATTTGTAAATTTCACATCAGGTGCTACTTCCGAAGTAAAAGTATCATACTTCAATTTGATTATCTCTCCTGATACCTCCATTCAAAACCAGGAAACACCTCAAACATCAGCAAGAAATCCTCAATTTGTCATTAAAATATGAATTTTCATTATTAAACTTAACCAGAAAATTCTATCAATACGATTTCACTCACATAAAAATCTACATAATCATGTCTCTTCCTTACTGCAGAAATCCTAACTTTACATGACAATCTTTTTCTTTTATGATATGTACCTTACTTCAACATATATTTCAAATCTAACTTATAATTACTTCACAAACATATCCAACCTTGTTTAAAAATAATAATTACCGAAGGACTAATCCAATGCTATGTGTCAGGTCAACAGCCGTCAGGTGCCAACAGTGCTGGCGAGACTTTGGGTCCACTGGCACCCATCCTATATGAGGAATCAATATCATTCAGCAGTGAAAAAAAAAACCAAGACTCAATATTGCAGTTTCAATTGCCAGGGAAGAACATCAAAAAACAACACAACAGAAACTTTTGTAACAAATCACAATTATTAACAATTCTCTGTTTGGTTTTTATAAATCAAGAAGACATAGACACTGTTAATGTAAATATTTGTCTTTTTCAAACAGATATAAAAAATTTACCAGGAATGTGTCCATTAGCATCTGGTTGTGGTTGTCCATTACTTATCGGAACACCTGATGCTGGGATCCAGTGCTCTGGAACTTCCTGAAATAGAATCAAAATGTTGATGTTACTTTTAAGATTTCCTGGCAAGAAATTCCTCCTTAATTATAATGCATTACTTTAGTTATTACACATTTGTATAAATCTGAGTGGTCCATCTAACAGTGAATTTATCATTGACAAAGTCACCATTAACCTAACAATGATTTTTTTTACCATATCATCATACTAATTCTTATTTTTTTCCTAATTTCCATTTGTACTATTTTTATTTGTTTATGTTAGTTATCACCGGATCTTATAATTTATCTTTACTTGGTAAAAATCAGATGTAAGCAGTTTGTTTCTGGCAAAAGATCAATAATGATTTTTTTCCCTATATCATGATCTTACCTTGAAGTCACTTGGAACTTCCCATGGAAATGAGACCTCTGAATTCTCTGTAGAGGCAAGGTCATCAGCATCCCCCTTCCCTTGACGTCTCTGTGTCTGGAACTTCTTAAAACGTTTTTCAGCTGCTTTATTTGGTTTCCTGTCCAACCGAGCCCACAACCAGGGTTTACCTAAACAAAAACAGGCTTGGAATTCCCATTTGATTGATCACATTTAACAAGAATTTGTAGCATTTAGATATCTATAAATCAAAACTTTCAAATTACTGTTTGTTTAAAATTAATGTATTAGGATTGTGAACAGCTTAAGACTAGGTTATAATTTAAACTGAATTGTTACCTTGGAATTCTGATATAAAGACACAGGTGCCGTCAAGTTTCTCTGTAGCAACAGCAGTATCTATGCTTTCCTGTTTGGCTATCTGTCGAACCGTGTTAGTTGCTACAACGTTGTACTGCTGGTAAGATCGTTTCTTAGATGGCTCATTCAAGACTGTTGTCTCATACACACAAGGAATCTTCTGCTGTACTGACCCTAGTCCTGCCATCCTTCATCAACCACTTGGATAGTTACAGACTGAGATATCTAATTATTACAATGACAAATGTATAAATATCTGAAATCATTATCCATGTCTAACGTACATGGAGCATAAATATTTGTAAAACTACATAAGGCCAAACTCATAGTACTTTTGTTTATTCATGGTTTTCCCTGACTCTCAAAAACCTGCATATTGAGACGGACCAAAAAATTGATAAAGTTTTACACCATATCATGTGTGACTTGAAATCCCTGAACTCATGCAATTGTAAAGTTTGAGGGTCCCAGGGATCTGTATTTAATGTTTTTTAACTTTCAAACTCCAGTACCCTAAGCCTTTTCTTGAAAATGTTACCTGTTCTACCTCTCAATGGAAATGTCATACATTATATGTTTAAGTGTCTCTTGCATCTGAGAAATATTACATGACAAACTTTACTCATTGGCATCTCTGCTCAGCACATACATTTATCAACCACAAGCACAATAAAAAAAAACAATTGTAGGCCAGATAGGCATTCAGAGTACTCAAACAATGTTGGAGGTTTACATGGCAAGAAACTTATGACAGGCCACAATAGTTAACGTCAGACTGTAACAGTAATTTTTTAACAAACTTTGTGTAAACAAACTTATTACTCAAAGCAGTAATTGTCCCTCAAATGCAGAGCTATTACTCACATGAGGGGTTGTGGCAAACCTGGGAAATAGATGGATTATTGAAAGACACCTTGCCCCTGCCAAAGTTTGAACTAGCATCCCTTCAGTCTCCATTATCCATGCGGAAACAATACTATTTGAATAAAGGGAAATTCACATTAGCCCATGGTTATATGACGGAAAACCGAAAATGGGCGACAAATGCGTGACAACTCATCTGTGTTAATTTTCTTATTTCATATCAAACGGATGGTCAAAATTGACGCTCCAATGTACCTAACGGTCCGGAAAAGCTCTCCGCCAAGCAAACAAAATCATAACCGGAAAGAAACATCACATCAGTTAGGAGACACTATTTTACAAATAGGAACATCAACATCTGGAATTCTTTACCTGAGGCAGGGACGTATATATCACGTTAATATACGTCCCTGCCTGAGGAAATCGTTACAGCTCCAACAAAAACTGTTTCAAACGTAGACTGGATAGACACTGGAAAATCAGGAAGTGATGTATGACAATTACAAGGCAACTATCGGAGGTGGCGACCCATCTTCTAAGTGGGACGTACTAGAGGAGTCTGGTATAGAGGCCTCATAGGCCTGCTCCAGAAAAATATCCTTAAGTATACTTAAGTAAGTATAGCTGACGGAGGGCATGTGCAATGTACTCAGTCGGGAGATCACACATAACGAGCGTGATAAGTAAAACTGAACAAAGACACTGTCGTAGATGATCTTCATTAAATGTGAAATCAACCGAAAACTTACCAGAATCACTTTTCAACTTTACATAATCAGATAATAATAAAAATGATGCAAGTCACTGTATGGGCGCATCCATGTTGACAGTTCAAAAACAAGGGCGGTAACTCTAGTGACATAAAATTAGCAAAACAACGTGTAAAATGGTTGTCATATGGTTCGTTTGATACGTCCGTCCTTAAAAACTGAAGGGACCTCTCTATGTAACTTTTATGATTTGACACTGTTTTGAACTTCAACTTTTCAAGATGACCACCAGCGGCCATTTTCAATGTTGACATTTCTGCTCATTGAAACATTACATATAGGTGTTTTACTTCTGTTATTGAAGATTGCCGTCAGCGGCGATGTTGAATTATCAAATTTTGAATTTCATTACCACTTTACTTACAAATTAGAAATGATTATGAACATGTTTATTACCATTTTTTCATACTCGCTAACCAGCCCTATTTAGAAGGGAGACTCCCGATTTTGAACCACTAATTTTGCTATTTTCAATCGAGTGAATTTGCTAAACTAATAAAGTTTTAGTGATTTCATCGAATGAACAACACAAATTACTTTTTGTATTTTAACTTCGTGTTTTTGAAACAGGTAACTTTACCGTAGAAAAGTTATTCTTACCAGTGTTGCTAATTTTTTGGAGGGTTTATTCATACATTTTATTCAAGATTTTGTTTTTTGAGCATGTCACATCAACTCCTTGAATTTTTTTTTTTATTTTGGCAAATAATAGCTTTTCGTATGCCACAAAATGTTCTCGTGTCCAAGGTGGTCATCAGTGGTTAATTTATACCAAATGCTATTCATAAAAGATCATTTAGATGTTGAGAACATATTTAGTATGTATGGGTCCCAATACTCAGCAAGGTTGACTATATATGAATTATTTGTCATGGTTGATAATTTTAGTTCCTCCCTGTACGAAAACAACATTTAAGAGATCCTTACAAGGATTAGCTCTCATGTTAAATATGTGAAAACTGGATTATGTATAGAAGAAAAAACACATATCTGACCTCCACTAGTGTAAAAGCCATTGAATGTCGTCAAGTAATATAACTACTCAATATCACAGACACCACATTTTCAAGCACATTCTGAAAAATGTGGTCAACCTCTTGAGGGTTCACTTTTATTAAGATAATTTTTGAAATAATGACAACTTCATGATGATGTTATGATAGCTATTTCCAAAATGTGCTTGAAACTGAAGAATTGGCAGTCCACGACAGGAGATCAACATTCCTCTAAAGAATAAGCTTGCATGGCCATTAACGTATAGATTTACAAATATATAACAAAAGCCGAATTATATTGAAATGCTTCCAAGCACCATTTAATGACACAACTTCTGACCTAGAAGTAGACATTCTTACTTAAAAATACTTTTACACAGATCATCCATTCTTTGATTCAAAAACAAGTTGTATAACACACTTTAACAATCATATACTACACAGTACAGAGTTTTACTGGAATTCATACAATATACAATATCAAAATATTGTCTATCTAGTACAGCACACATTACAGAACCTGTTCTACCCATGTATTACATATATAGTTAAGTTCATACTACACAATAATTAGGAAGCTAAAACATATCAGCTTTACTACTAGGTACACTAGGTATTTAAACGTGCAAGTGTAACAATCGTGCACTTATAGCCAACATCTTGATAAATCATTTCTTCCTCGTTTACAATACTTAATCCAAATTTAAGTATAATTTACTTGTTTCCATTCAGAATACACCAAATGATTCTTCAACAATTCAAACATTTGGCGAGCCTCAAACTAGTTCAGTAAACTTTCCTTCAAACACACACAAAATGGAAAAAAATGTGCATCTGCTTTGTCTGACTTCTCCAGATTTTAGTGCTAATCAAGCAATAATAATTCTTTACTTTTTTAACCATTCCAAGTTATTTAGAAAAGTAGAAATTTCATCAACTTCCACCTACTCTTCCGTTTAAGTAACCATTTTTTGTTTGGCTGAACATTTTATAAATCCTATATTTTGTTATAAAATCCTATATTTTGTTAACTAAGTCATCTTTGATTAAAGTCATACATTAACATTCTTTAAAGGCATAATACATAAACATTAATTACCATATACAAAGTACATATTACAAAATCATGTTCTTTATTTTTTTCATGGGTACTATTAATCTATGAAGTCATATGTTCATTAAATAATACATGTTATGATTGAGAAAGTCATTTTTGTAGGATTTTTTTAACTGAGACCAGAACACTTTTTCCAAAATTTTGACAACTGATTATGACAGTCCCATCAGAAAATCACAAGTCCAGGAGTCAAACACCCGAGTCCCAAAAATCACTGACTTCGATTTTTAGTTTCTAACATTTAATGGATATCATGAATAAAATTTATCCATGAAATCAAGTGCCACAGAAAAGCCTTTTTTTTTTAAGTATCACAAAAATATATGATTTTCCAGTACATAACAGTATCTGATGTGTGATAAGCCATGCTGTAGTGAAGCATTGGAGAAGTAGAATCTCCTACGTTTATTCTTTAAATGTTATTAACATGATCACTTGATGTAGCACTCCACACTCACCAGCTGCCATACATACACATTAATACTGATATTCTTTATTCATGTTCCAAATGCTAGTTAAATGCAAGAAAAATGATACATAAAAAATTATCACATGACTGGCTATTTTACTCATTTATCCAATCCCATTACTCCAAATTTTGTTTAGGGGTACCACCCTTAGCTTCTTCTTTGGCTTTATTGTGAATAGCATGCTCGTTTTGAGGCAGGGTGTCCTAGTAGCTGGTGTTTCCCCCAATGAACAACATTGTGGAGGCCCGTCACATGGAAGAAACTGAACCAACAGAAATCTTTTACTGGGTATTTCCAAGGATAAAATGTATGTTTTACTGAAATAGCCCCGATAGATAAATGGCTCACACGACATGTTATTTGTTATTGTTTGAAGTCAGTTTTCTCCAGCATTTCTTTCTTAAATGCTAAGACAGTCTTTTCATTAAATTTATTGAAGTAATTACTCTGCTTAACATAACATGAGGCATCACCTGTGTCAAGAAGCCTGTATCACTCACTTCGCTAATTCAGCTATTCAGTCAAACTTGTTGCCATATGATTTACTGTTTTTTTATCCAAGAATGCTTCAGACCAAATCTCAACCATATCCTTGAACGGAAGGATTTTTTGGAACCTATTGTTGTGCCCCACACCACAGGCAGAGAGAGAGAGAGAGAGAGAGAGAGAGAGAGAGAGAGAGAAAAGGGGGGGGGGGAGATAATTAATCCCATTTAGTACCATGATACTTCAGACCAAATTGGGAATGAATCCTGCACTCTTATGAGGAAAATGGATTTAAAGATTTTGCTCTTTTTCTTTTATTGGACCTTGATCCTTGTCCCACCCCAGAAGACCACAACCTAATATTTATTCAAATCTGACTTCATTCATCCAAGAATGCTTCAGATCAAATTTGTGCAAAATCCAATCCATCCAGCAAGACGAGTAGGATTTAAAAATTTCCTTTTCTGTGCTCTGCCCCTCAGACGCCTGGGAGCAGAGACCTAACATTTATATGGAAAATTTGTTCTCTTCCCCAAACATACTTATGACCAAATCCCAGCAGTAACTTAGAAGAAGTAACCACAGATCTCTGTACCTCTCACTTTGCCATGAAAAAGGGCCTTCAAGATATGGATTACATTCTTAAACATTTAAGAAATCCCCATTTTACCAAAACCATTTAGTGGAGACACAAAAAATTGTCTGAAATATTTTTATTAATAAAGTTAGCCATTTGTTAAATAGTATCAGCTTCATTAATAATCATTAATTAAAAACTTTTAACATATTATTTAGAAATGAAGATATATTCTCTGAATAAGCACTACAATTGATCATGACATTTTAATCTGAGTGAAGAAAACCAAATACATCTGGCAACAGTAAATGCTTGTCAACAAGCTGACTTATATCTAGCACTGTCCAGTAGACATTTCAGCATCCAAAGACTAAGTTTTGGCCTCAAGGCATCTTACAGACTCCACTTTGTTTCTCCAAACTGAGGAAGTCAGATGCTTTCATTCTTGAAAGCTCTCAAAAATTATTTTTGAAATTCACAAACACTGACAAATAACTTGTTCAATATGAAACATTTTTAAAATTGAATTTTGATATCTTAAACAATGCATCATCAATCGCTTTTACCAGGGTGCTACCAAACAGTTGCTTAAGCAGCAATAATTACAATATGTATGCTGTTTTGAGATTTTTATATATTGATACAGAAAACTGTCTTTCTTGATCATTGTTCCTGTTCCAACTATGCCAGATCTTGCAGGTTAATTGTGGAACCTGTCACAAACTCCACTGTTTGTAAATTATGCTGAGTGATGTCACTACTTGAGGAATCGTTGAGTGATGAAAGATCAGATCCTAAGGCAGCCTCCTCAGAATAAAGGTCAGGGGTTGGAGGGTCATCCTGATACAAAGAGAGATAATATACAGAAGACATAATATAATGTTTCCTTTCTCTAGCAATGAATATTCAAATAAATAAAGAAAACAATGGCGTAGAAATGGAATTGCTGAAACTAGATCATACCAGATAGATGGAAACACCAACAATATCATAACCTGACAGTGAAACTTAATTCCTTCAGTGGTAGATGACAATTTCTGAATTGTTCTGCTTCTATTGCAGTGTTTAAAAATACCACATTTTCAAGGTTATAAGCCACACCAATATATAAGCTGCTCTGCCAGTATTTAGGATATTTTCAACTTGATCCACATATAAGCCACACTGGAATATAAGCCACACCCTTTCCTACAATATGGTGACCACTAAAGTTGACGTTTGATATACCGTTAACAGATAAGGGAAGGCAGTTCTTACAAAGTGGTAACCGTTACTTTGACAAAAGTTTATTGATATAGCAAAAAACAGAAGGCAATTTATCAAGATTGTCAGTGAAACATGTAATAAAGTTTGCAAATGTGCCTTCACAGATTGTCTATGCAGATATAGGACCTGACATTTTGTACAGCTTACTAAACAATATCTCCAATGTCTGTACTGTTAAATATAAACGAAGGCCCTTCCATGCTGACCAAATTCTTTCAGTCCTATATCATTTCTTCTCGTAAGTCATATCATAAACAAGCATAGCAATTGATCTAGAATTTGACCTATAACCTGATGACTTATTGATCCAAGGATACCAAAGTCTATTGTAAACTTCAGCTATGGTTTGAAGTAACCACAAAAGCCCAGAAGATGTTATAGTGATTCTTATTAAAAGGTATGATGAATGAAATCCCGCTTTTTTTGTTTTTGTTTTTTTAACTGCACCGGTATATAAACGAAACACTCGATATACAGGGAAAAAAGTGTGACTTATAATCAAGAAAACACCTTACCAGATCTACCTTTCCAAACATTGGAAAACTTACCTGTAACAGTTGAGTCTGTACATATAAAACCCCAGTCTCTGGATCCCGAAAGGTTATCCCCCTTGATGTCATACTGTTTGATGAAGAGTATGACACGGTGGAAGTTGGCACATTAAAATTGCTCTGTTGGTCATTTGTTGTCTCTGAAAAATTGAATCAGTCATCATAATTATAGATGTTGTTAGTCAATGATCTTCACCAGAATAACTTTCATGTTTTAGGACCTCTTTGCCAGATTAAAGCTGCTGTAGTTGACTGATGTAAGTGAATTTCATTTCAGTTTGACTGTCATGCTTTGAATGCAGTTCCTTACCTTAAAAATTGTCAGTCAATATATTTATACTTATAAATATGAAGACTGAAGTTCTTTAAAAGAGAATTACCAAATTCTATACATGTAGCCATGGTTTCAGCATGCTTACCTTGGAATGAGGACTGGTCAACTCCTACTGAGGACATCTCTCGTAGCAATTGTCGTCGCTTTCGTGCTCTGTCACTCAGGAGATGGTTGCTACGGAAATCTGTTCTGGCTGATCCACTGTTGTTTTCCTGCAGTACCCGGCCAGATGAAGATTCTGCTTCTGAAATAAGGTAATATAAGGTTAACTTAAAATGTTGTTTTCAACAGTTGGAATGACTTTCAGGAATTGTTTACAAAACATCATCACATCTAACAATTATTGATAGAAGCGACAACCTTGCAAAATATTCAAAAGACAATTCTGAATGCCATTTAAAGAAAAAAAAACATGGCATATATACAAGCATTTTTTCTTATATTGAACATGCCAGGAAATCTTAATACTATGGAGAAGGGACACAATTGCCCTTCACATTGGCTTCTCCCCTCTGAATAAAGGAAAGCAGGAGGCAAGATGAGTTAAATACTCTCAGAAGATCCCCACATTGAATCTAGAGTAAGTTTGGTAATTAAAGTATCTGAATAAAAATTTATTAATATTGAAAGTTTTAAATCATTTTCAATTCAACAAAGACATACATACATATTAATTTTTTATCATTATATTATTATAAAAACATGCTCGGTTAAATATTTCAATGACAATATCAGGCATAAGAGTTGTGGAAGAATGATGGACTAGTTACAGTTCATCGTTTTTTTCTTTCATTTTTTGAAGGAGGCCTAGAACACTTTAAACTTTTCAATTAAGAAAAAATTTTAATCTGACTGCCTTTGAAAACTGTGCAAGAGACTTTCGGTGGCCTAGGGGAGTTATATTAACGAGATTTTAGGCAGTATGATGGCATACAACAACTCACCAGAATTGATGGCAATGTGTATTTTAGGGGAGGTCTCCTGAGGTTGGTCAGTGGATGTTGTTGGCTGGTCAACAGAAGACAAAAGCTGGTTCAAAACAGCAGGACTGATTTGTTGCATCGTGCCCGTCTCATCTTCAGCATTCGCTACTGTGGCAGCTATGGTGGATAGTTAAAGGACAATACAAAATTTTACTGAATACTCTACAATTGAATACAAGACCTCATCTTAATGCAAGTTTAGTGAAAAATTAAACAACAAAGTAAGTACACATTACCTATAGGAAGTGATAATTCATAATTCTTATACAAACATCAAAATTTGTGCAAAAATAGGTTCAATTCTCCAAATACCTTATCAAGCAAATTGCACCACAAGATAAACATATCTTATATGAATTAACAATGTTTGGGTTTACTTTCTTTTGTCAAAGATCAGTAATATTTTAAGTCAACTAATGACTGAATGAAAATTTTAAGTAAATTAAAGAAAAATGGAAATATGCAGTAACTTACTGGTGGTGATGAACTCTGATGGGTCAATGAGTATTGTGTTGGGAGATTCTAGGCTGTCATTCGGCATGGTTGTGCTGACTGAGGAAACTGGGGGAAATAAAGATATTTGTTGTTGGTTAAAACAACCTTAACTCAGTCAATCTGGATTTCTTGTTCCATAGCCATACATTAATTTCAAAATACTATTTAGAGATGACTTGTTAATCATTGATCACAAATTTAAAACAAAAGCAAGCAAGAACACACTGTCAATGGTATACCAGATTTCAGACACATTACAGCACATATAGCTTTCTCATGAGATTTAACAGTACACCGAGCTATGAACACCTAATTCTGTAGAACAATCCTAATTGAATCAATCGGGACGAAACCATGTATGAAATACAAATAGTTTCCCAGGTGTGGACTACGTAATTATTCTTACAGATTTTGAACTTGAGTCACCGAAGCATGTGTAACAGAGGTCGTTATCAATTCATGCCCTCTGGCTTATCATCTTAATCTAAATCGAGATAAATAAATTGCAGCTATAATATTTACACTTAAAATGAAGGTCAAATTCTGCAGATATTATCCCATATGTGACAATAATCCACTTAACAAAGGCCTATACAACATTAAATTGAACCCAAGGATTCCATTTTAATTTTTGTCATTTTGTTGAACAGAGGACCATATATGTTGTGCCATACCAGCAATGGCCGCCTGAGCCTCCGCCATTTCTTCATCTGTCTGAAAGCCACCGATGAGAAGTGTGGTGAAATCCATTTGTGAAACATCACTGTTTGCTGAAATATGCTGTTTTACGATGTGCTGACGCAGTGCGACTTTGTTTGAATATTTCTTTCGACATCCATCCATTGGGCAGTGGTAAATTATTTTCTCCTCTGATTGTTCATGCTTCTTCATATGGACATACAGACTACTTTTGGCCGTAAACTTTACTGTACAACCTATGTGATATAATCAAGAGATGAATTAATACAGGTTTACATTTTTTCTCTCTGTAAAATTTGGAAAGATAAACACTACTTGTACATCAAATTTGAAACAAAATCAACATCATATCAACTTTACAGTATTTTTGTACTCTACCCTGTTTATTGATAAAATATGTTGACCACGTCATCCTTCAATATATACTTCACCGGTAAATTTATGGTTTCACTTTTGTGAGATGTCAAAGTCACTGAGACCTCATATTCAATCATCACATACATTTCAATAGGTAAAAAGAAATTGTTTACCAACTTTATCACATTCAAATTTGCACAAACTATAACAGTGCATGCAGTATGTTTTTGACCTCAAAAAAGGAGTTTTGACTCTTGAGTTTATACGGACATGTGTCCTCATATGGATTGAGTCTTCAGATTGGTTTCTCAGATTGCAAAATGTCATGGGTCAACTGATTGCCTGGTGAAAACTACACTTTCTAAGCTTTTTCATATCGATTACATTGATACGTATATCAATATTTATTCAAACAGACATCTTTTCACAGCGTATTTTATAAACGGTGTTTTTTAAAAATTTAATGGATCTTCCTGTATAGTTTGAATGAAATTCCTGAAAATAACCAGGAACCTTTTGAATTGTTTATGCTTCAAATGGCTATTAGAACTGTTTAAACACAACCTCCTACATATTTCAAAAAGACGCTTCTTGTATTTCATCAGTTTACCTAAAAGTAAAGCTATATCTGACAGATACAGACCTTCAACAGGACAGGCATATGGCTTTTCCCCAGAGTGTGTCATCATGTGGCCCTTGAGGTGCTCTGCCCGCATGAAACCTTTATTACACTGTTGACAGAAAAACTTCCGCAGGCCTGTGTGCTTTGCCTGGTGACGCTTCAGTTTACTTGCAGTTGCAAATGCCCAACCACAGCCCTACAAGAATCATTAGTCATACTTACTGAATAATTTCAATTTATTTGAAAACAATGACCTTGCAACAGAAAATCCTTTCAGAACACCTGTTAGGCTAAATTCTCCCTTTAATTAAAATATATCTCCTGTCTAAGCAAACTCACTGAAGCAGAATATATCAGTCAAAGTAACATAGAATTGATAAAATCATATTGAACCATTCCTCAAGACTGATTGGCTCAAATATATATATTACCTCTGGAAAACATTGTCCATCATCCAAATATGTAGACAGGAAATATAACCAGGACAAAATATTTGATTTGCCAACTAAGCAATAAACAATCATAAAATTGTAAAATAAATCTACAAATGACATACCTCATATCGACAAATGTAAGGCTTCTCTCCTGTGTGACTTCGCATATGCTGCTTCAGACGACATATCTTGTCAAACACTTTACCACATCCTTCAAACTTACAAGTAAGGTCTTCGCGTTCCTGTGTATGAACACGGGGATGAGAGCCCATACAATGGGCAGAGAAGAAGGTCTTATCACATCCCTCCACTGGGCACCTGTGTAACAGGAGTATATTGTGTTGACTAGATTTATTTTGATAACAAATCTAATATTAAGCAGAAAGCATGCTTGTTTATCAGAAGAGAACAACTGAATTGAATGGTTGACAAAATGAGCAAAATTACATAAGATTATCCGCAGTAAATAAGTACACCAAAGAGGTGGTGGAATTCTGATTATCAAAGAAGTATTGACCATAATATGTGGTTAAGTATACTAACTTGTAAGTTTTCTCCATGCCACTGTGGCACTTCATATGAAGGTCGAGTTGTCTCTTGGTCGGGAATTTCTCATTGCATCCTTCTTCTGTACACTGTTCCACACATGGACGCTCATGGAGTCGTTTGTGGGAGTTCAGGTTATACACAGTTGTAAATTTCTTATCACAGCCTTCCACATCACACTAGAAAATTAAATTACTTTACCGTAAGTTACAAGATCAGTACTGAAATTTCTAAACTTCCAATGCAGGATCAACTATTGAAACAATGTAAGCTGTGTTTCACCCAAACTCAAATTTTAGGAGCATGTTCTTGACAAATGAGTATTTTTATATCTTAACAACAGGGTGCTATTTTTAACTTACTTTAGAAACTGAAGGCACCTGAGGAAGGGGGACACTTTGATAATTTACAAAGTTAACTGATCAAATGTCGTTAAAAAAACCCACAATAGTCCAGAGAAAATTTATACATAATAAACTTACTATAAAATCTTTTTTCCCTTGATGAGATTCTCCATGTCGCTTCAGTTTATACAATGTTGTAAATGCCCATTCACAGCCTGGCTTTGAACACTGGAATAGTAATTTTAAACTTGAGTTTTTATACATAAGTGACGAAGATTTCTGCTTTTTTAATGCTATTAATCTTCAAACAGTTATGGGAACAAGTTCAGGATAAATTGGTATCTTATAGTTCAGTTATCACAAAGTATGGTCTGAACACTAAAAGCTACCCCAATTATTGAGTTCACTATCAGCTCTAGAGTACTTCTGAACTATTAGTAGTGGCCTTCAATCTAAAGAAAATAATGAATGGTATCACCAGCACTACATTCAACACTCCAACCTCCAACAATATTAGAGATTTAATCATTTTTTACAGGCCTGACCTCTAACTTCCACAACAGACGTTTCCTGGTGCTAGGGGAGAGCACATATCAGCAGTTCGTAACATTATTAGAACTCACAATGTATACATGCTGCTTACTTTAGAATGATAAATACATCCATTTCTACTACTTATGCCTACATATATAACTATATATATACACAAACCCAAAAACCACACCATTAGCGTTTGTTAAAGTTTCAACCTAGTTTCACTTGCAAACGCTGCCACTGTTATTTCTGCATGGGTAACTTCCAGTTTATTCAAAACTTGGAGTTACTACAACACAGAACGATGTCTTGTGTACTTTTTATTTTCACCAAAAGCAACATACTGTTTCAATTACCTAGATCTGAACGCATAAGGGTGCAAGTGACCATTTTTTATATATATATATTTCCTTATTATTTGAGTGTTGCTAAGCATCAATTCGCAAATGGATGGATTAATATATTACCAACAGGTAAAATTTTATGTAGTTTTTAACATACTTTGTTCTTCTCAATGGTGTCTGGTCATTTTGATTTCCAGAAACTACTAGAGAAATATAGCTTCAGAAATAAGATGTCACAGATATGCAAATACAACCCTGTGGACTGATTTCTTTATCATATAGGAGCACACATTAGTAAGCCTATCAATGTAGTTTTTTCAGGATTATCCTAATCTTTCTGGTTTTATTTTCACCTTGAAAGGCCTTTCTCCTGTATGCCTCATTTGATGGACACGGAACTTGGACAATTTTTTGAAGATCTTCTCACAACCCCTTTCCCCACACATGTAGTACTTTCTGGGTGGTCCCTGACCTGCCATGGAACCCATATGGACATCTGGTAGCTGTAAATAAGGTGAAAACTATTTGTGATTTGAAAGTAAAAAAACTGCTGTAAATAAAAACTGATACAGTTAGGTAACTACATCAACTAAATTTCCAGGACAGGAAAACATTCTTTTCTATAGCAAATACTGGCATATTCTAATTCATCAATGTAAAAATCTGTTAAGCAAATGCACTACATTTACATTTTTTAAGCCTCATAAACTGGTATACCTGTTGTAGATGAATCTGTGGTGCTTGTGGGATGACATTGCCACTGATTGTTCCCAATGGGGATGACATCAGGATTCCATTCTGCAAGTTCAGCTTTTCATAGTCAGATGTGGGCAGAATCAAATAGCCTGAAAATTCCATACAATATTAAAGGCTGGATATTAGATGTGAAAAATAAAGAATTTCAATAAGTTGGTATATGTATTATTGTATGTTGACAAATCACTAGACAAACATGTAAGGATATTCATCTGCCATGATGTTATACAATTTTGATATTTTTTTTGCATAAACACATGATTGCTACTCCCTCATTTGAGCTGACCTTACATATAAAAAAAATTTCTTGGAGCTACAAAAACTGTTTTCATTGACTGGAGGCTGTAAAGTGAATTAGTATTTTATTTCGGCACTTCCCTCTGTAACATACTCTAATATACACGAGAGCAAGGTTATCATAATTTGTTCAACTAAGTTTAAAGTATGTAAATTCTCATTACAGAATATCAATATATATATATAAATAGACACATCCACATAAAGGTGCAATTTTTTTGTGTAGCAAAACCATGCATTCTTAAGATTGATTAATTTCAGTTTATAAAAGTGATGATAGTTAATAATAACCTGTCTGGACTGGTGCTACAACATTAGTGTCCATCTGCTGGACTGTTTTAATCTGCCCAGGATCACTAACCACATGCTGTAGTGCATTTGGTCGCGACAGTGGCTCCAGTGCATTTGTAGCTTGTGTCAGGTCTGCAGTGTTTATGTGGTAGAGCTGCTGACCCTGGTTTGTGTTGACTAGAATTTGGGTAGAATTGGACATTTTGTCAGTGGAAATAGATATTGTTGCAAGTTTCAGATTGCCCTCACAGGGAACATAAGCCTCTGCTGGTGCTACAATTTGCTGTGACAATGACTGCCCTAAGTCCCCCGACTTTTGCCCATCAGATACACTTTGATTTGGGGTTTCTACATTAGCTCTATTCAAAAGAGAAGTGTCAACTAATTTAGTTTTCCCATCTAACATGGATGTCAATGATTGCGTTAATTGGCACTTCCCAAAGTCACTTCCAATGCCTTTAAAATTTGATCCATCTTCGATATGGACTATTTGAATTGCATCACTTTTCGGTCCAACAGACTCCTCAAATTCGATGCCCCTGTCAGGCATGCTTTCTAATTCCTGGGGAGTCATCAATGTGTTGTTCCTATCCGAGTCCATCTGTAACCCCAAATTTTGCACGTTTAGTTGTTTGCTCTCCATACTTAGGTTTGGGCTTGTAAGTTCATCGAGTGCATCACGGTCTTGTGTTTGAAGGACATTTACATTTGACACACATATTGAGGGGACGGTCAATCCGGTGGCCTGTCCCTCACAAAGTTGGCGAGTAAAATTGAGTTCTCCGTCTGAGAGAGGAATGGTTGCACTGTCGGTTTCGGGAAGCGAAATAGCTCCATCATCAGGCAGCGGGTCGCTGTCAAACAAGTCACCCACACTAGCATCATCTTGATTGCTACTGGTAATATCAAAGTCAACAGTTTCAAGATTCCTACATCGTGATTTCAACCATTCGGCATTGTTTTCCACAACAGCTCTCTCGTAACTATCCAAGTCATCATCAGCCGACAAAAAATGCAAGTTATCTTCGGCGACATTTTTCCCGTCGATTCCGACGCCATCTTGAATTATCTGACTATCTCCCGAAGACTGGATTGAACTCAAATCATTATTTTTATCTCTAAAAGTATCGTCTAGTCCAATGTTTACATCCAGCCGACTTTCATGTGGTATTCCATGGGGGCCGCCATGTTTTTGCCCAACCAGTCCCCCTTCACACGACATGTTAGGGCCCCGTTCTTCACATCCATATGGGGTTCGCCATTACTGTCCAAAGCGCAAAGGACTCTGACGTCACGGGTTCATGAACCCTAGATAGACTGGTAGTACCAACCAATGAAAACGTTACTTATTTCAGCGTGGGAACATTTAAATAAACGTTGGAGAAACAAAACGTTGTCATAGTAGTGATATCGTTTTCTGTATTCAGTTGTGTCTTAGTGTTCGCATATGCAAATGGCCCTACAGAAATTACAAAACTTCAAGAGTACATATTTTGTTAATATTGCAAAGTCACCAAAGAGTGTTGTTCTCATGAAAATAAACAACATGTCAACATACTATAAATCTCCTACCATGTCTTAGTGTGGTATGATCGTCTAAATTTGTTAATAAATTCGTCTAATTGTGTTAAAATGAACTCGGATCAATGTTATTGTTTATCCGCTACGGCCATTTACGTAAAAATTCGGCTCCCAATTAATTGATCCTAAAAAACATAAATCAGTGAACTGAATGACCAGAGACGTATATAACACATTTTTTGAGTTGCTATCTCTAAATTTCGAGTTGCAATCTCGAAATTTCGCGTTGCTATCTCGAAATTTCGGGTTAATATCTCAAAATTTCGGGATAAAATAAAACACAACGTGCCGGAATACGCTTCCGTAGATGTCTACTACGTAGAAGAACATTATGTATTCCAAAAAGTGGACAAGAATGGCTTTACATTTTTACTTCTTACTATTTATCTATTGCCAGTTTCAAGGCTTCATAGTGTTTAAAATTGTTCTAGTGAGAACAAAACATTTCAAAGATAGAGGAAAGAATAAGCGTAACTGATATAAATTAGATAATTTATTTCATAATTTCAACAAAACAACACTTTTTGTATCTCTTTTGCTGTTTTTCCCTATATTTTGATATTGGATAAAAAGTTCTATTCTGGTTTACAGAAACGTCTTCTATAGTACATACACATGAATTGGAGCTATTTTGAGATATTTAGTCGCCTCCTAGGCTTCAAAATTTAGGTCCCTTAACATCACCTAGAAGGACGAAACAGCTTGATGGTGCAGTTTAATTTATAGTTTAGCTCTACTGTATCTAACTCTGAATTAATGAAAGGTGATATTCAATTATGTGTCTTTTGTACTATCTTTGATACTAGTTTGTTGTTAAACGTTTACATTGTCCTTCTTCCAGATTGAAAGAAAGGTTAAAAATACTGTAGAATATTCAATTGCACATAATAAATTCGTGGACGGTTCCCACGAACCCCTTCACTGAACCAAACTTGAGTATCCTTTCTAGCAGACAATCTACCAGTATTTACATATCTATTTTTCAGGTTAACGATATCAATACTGACATGTAGAATTACAACGAGTGTCAACAAACATGTAAATGTTTTATTATCATACAAAATAGCCTGATGGTGACAGGTCATTAACTGACAGACACTGGGTTTTATTTAAACACTCCAACGATCGAAGATGAAATAGATTGTCTTATTTTATATCCTTGACTGCTAAGCTGACGTTCAGCTTAAGGAGTAAATAACATTAACGATAACAAAAGTCATCTGTAAATCACTTGGAGGTATATTTTAAAGGGTTTGGAGGAGCTGTTATTCGCTGGCCAGTTGAATAACAGTTGATATCTTCGCACACCGCTACTGACATAACATCTACACTACCATTGATCACAGTTGTTGACATTAGACCATTTCTCACCGCATTCTTAAGTGACGTCACCGCCACTGTAATGTTCCCTACGTTGGTGTTATTTGTGGTTAGAGAAACTCGCGAAGAGAGTATTACGTTGATGAGGTGTTCACTGGTCACATTGTATGTCATACGATCCTTTGACTGAGTGTGAGTTTCCCTTTGATTTAGATCCAGATAACCATGCCATATAAGTCCACTTTGGTTCCATTGTTGGTGTAGTGCAATGGCATCGACGAGGTTACTTACAGCCAAGTCAGTGGCCACTTCTGTTGAATAATCTTTCACACGTATCTGAAGTAAGACAACGTTGCCTTGTAAACTAGTGATTTTCATATTTTTAAGGCAGTCTAAAATCGTACTCCACATAGCCTTCAATGTTTCCTGGAAGGCACTGAGGAAAGCTTCTTTGACAGTCCAAAATACATCAAATTTGTCACGCAGACTCAGAGAACAGAACGAGAATTCAGGCGACGGATTCGAATAACATTTTGGATGAGATTTGAAAGCCATGTTTTTTATATCAGCGCACGATATATTGACCGAGGGACTCAGGACAGGAACCAGAACGAGCTGTAAACATTTCTTTGACGAGTCAATCCATTGTTGTCCGTATGAAGAAAACATGTGGAAGTTTTTAGCGTACTCATCACAGAAATGTTCAGCGTATGTGATAGCGTAGGCAAACTCTGTGTGTTCACATGGATATCGTTCCTCTAGACAGTCTCTGTACCAAGAACATTTTGTGCCATCAGTGTTGTAGCACCATGAGGGTAACTTTGCAAAAGGACCAGTTTCTTCGAGCTGTTTAGAGAATACGATACCCAAAAACATGTATGACACAAGAAGTACGAAGATTTTAATAAATCCCATTCTCATGTCCACCTGACACTTAGTGAAGACGTCAAAATAAATAGGCCCTGTCACAGCTATCTTTTATCTCTAACATTATGTTGAGGCGATAAGAACATTACATATGTAAATCCTTCTTTTTGTCACCATACTACACCATACTACGATAAAATTTGTTGTGCTAGATTTATTTGAATTGTCTAGTGAATGTACGGCCCATGAAGTAATATTTTAGTTAAACAATTAAATGGCAGGTGATTGGAAACTACAAGTTAGCGGTAAAATGCAGTTGAATTCATTGTTTGGCTCTACCGTATCCGACTCTGAATTTGTATTAAATGATGCTATTTACTTGTGTGTCTTTCGTACAATCTTATCTAACAGACAACAATAAAATACTAGCAATTTCGATGGAGAGGGGGGTGGGGGGGGAGAAGGTGGTTACGAGTTCTTGCGAATGAACGATTTCCTTTTTTGAGTTAAAGCGATATACGTGTCTAAATCGATATCACTCTCACTGGTCATGCACATTCTATTTGGATATTTTAATAATGTATCACAAGGCTATCAAAGATATTTTGTAAACACTTTCACTTTCGGTTTATGTATACGGAATTCGATAGCTCTCTAGATTTCATTTTAAATGTGTGTGGGGATGTGGGTGAGGGTAGGTGTGAGGATGTGTGGTGTGTGTGGTGTATTTTCATATGGATTTCACGAAGTCGTCTATGTGAGTTATTTGCATTTCTTGCTGTTTCACTTAAAAACATTTTCGAGAAAAAAGTAAAATATGATGAGATTTTGAAGATAATGGATTCCAGTATAGCGGTTTACGTGCATTCAATATAGATTACCTATTCTGTGATAAACAATGATATCATGTGCAAATAATTAAATACAATTAGTTAAACGGAGGTGAAGGCCGAACTTTGATTTAATAACTTACAAAACGTAAACCCGACGTTACGTCACTGTCTGATTTTCGTTGGTATTATTAAAACAATGTATATTTAAATGAAAGGATTTGAAATACCACGTTTAAGATGTTCCTTTTGCATTTATAGAATACAAAAGCATCAGGAAAACGCGTCTTCAAGAAGAAGCCAAGTGTGATTTTCCTGGCAAGTCTGGGGTTGTCACGTCAACAAAAACACTGTTCTTACAATGCATGGATGCTGCTATGTCCATTATGGTCTGTTGAGTTTTTATATAGTCGGCGGTTCCTTGTGGGTACATGTTTATCGTGTCTTTATCCTATGATTTCTGTTATTTTCTGTGCATGACGTTAAACCAAATGAAATGTGTGATTCCAACACGATCTTGTAATCCGTTTATAGAACTTTTATTTAATTGGTGTAAATTGCATCCTGTCGATATGGTGTGTAATCTAGGACCCCTTTGTAAGAATGACATCTAGACATGAAATATATCTCAAGAAGTTGGCGATCAGTCTTTCGTTTGATTTGCAAATACATATATATGTAAAAGAATTGGACACAAGTAGTTTTTACATCTTATCACAGTTAGAGAGAGAGAGGGGGGGAGATCGAGAGAGATCGAGATCCGTAAGAGACAGACATAGGTAAAGTGTAATCTATAAAATGAATATGATCAAATAAAAACTTAACAGATCTGCTTGAAATCTTATTTTAAAGTGCTTTCTGGTGATGTCACAATCGAGACCTACTTTTTCGGTCTTCAAATTCAATTTAGCTTCAGGAAATTTCTTGATGCAAACACGATCTGATTATGATTTGTCTGTTAGATATATATATATTTGTATTATTATCTGTATTGTTACGTCACAGATTCGCAGAGGGCTATATTTTACCGGAAAGAGCGCGACTTAATCGCGATGTCTCGCAAGGGGGCGGTTGAATAATTCAACTTTGGCGCTTGAGACAGTGCTGTCTTTTATACGGCTTCAGTAAATCGCAGTTTGTACGAAAATAATGTCTGTATTGTTCGGTTTTACCAAATGGAATGGCTTTCGATTCACTATTGGATATTTTGGAATATTTTCTTCGTGTTGGTAATGCCAAAAGAATTTTGAAGTTCTTATAATACAACCAGGAGATGATTAGAGTGTGACCAGTGTGGAGCATACTAGCACTGTCGAATGTAATGTGCGAGATGGTAAAGAATCGACCAATGATGGATGTTTCACAGTTCACAAAAGATTTTGCATTCTACATTTTTGTTTGTTTAATGTTATAGAATGACTAGATGGTATTGCTGGTGTATGCCCCTCTACCGCTCTACAGAATAAAATAGAAGGCGTTGGTGTTGTCTTCTGGTTTGAAATGATGGAAGATTTGGTTCTCGAATTGTGACATTTCAAACGTCAAGCTTCCGTCTTCTCTGAATTTGTAGGCTTTGTTATTAATCTTGAAGCTCGTCTTTGAATGATTTCTAAATTTGTTTTTTATTGGGTAAGAGTCCCAGACAACTGCTCCGTAT